CATAGTTGCTTCTCAGCACAATTGACCATCACGTATAGATTTGAAAAATGCGAGAAAATCGTGACAAACGGGACAAATAAAAAATCGAAATGGATCTATTACTATTAATGGGCGAAATATGTTATGAACGTGCTTGGTCACTCAGGTAACCGGTCATTTTTGTATACAAAATATGAAAGGTACATTTCTTACTTAGCTAAATCCGTTGTGGTTAAGGGCCCGTGAAGATCCGCGGTAGAAAAGGTCTTCAGCAACTCATGCTTGCCGTAAAATGCGACTATGCTTGTCGTAAGAGGCGACTATAGTCCGGCAGAGAAATGAATATTTTCCCCCAACCCAGAATTAGGGGATAAAGTTTTTTTTATTGCTGGATTTGTTTAATGATGTACTCTAGATTATGAAACTGACTGATGACACTCTGTCATCTTTGGGCATTTTGAAATATTCAAGATGGCCGACAAGATGGCCGCCAAAACATGAAAATATCGCTTCCTTGCTAACAGTATGGAATATGATACCACTTTTGGAGCAAATCACTAATATTTTGCTTTCAACTAAATTGAATATGGTATTCTAAAGGAACTGGTATCATTTAAAACATAATTTGATTCTTAAATAAGCAAGATAACTGGCAAAATGCCTGTCGAAACATTATAAAGTCAACAAGCACGGCATTCTTTTTAAGGATAATTGATTATTCTCAACTTTCAAAAATGAATATTGGCTCAAGGTTTTCTTCACATACATACAATCAGTTTAGGTTTCTTCCTCATCATCAATAACACGGTTAGTGAGTTGGTTGAAGCAGACACTAGAGGCACTCCAGGCATGGCATACCCACATCACCTAATTGTATTTTGGTACCTTGTGGGGAGAAATTAGGCGATCTGGGAGGACACCGTTATATCATCTAACATGGCCAACTCTGCCCTTAAGTAAACAAGAACCTAATCAGTGAGGGGTCCTTTATCATCCATATTTGACTGCTTATAAAAATCTTATATCTCTCCTCACAGCTGGTTATTATATATTTTTGCTGCTGAATATTCGAAACAGAGTGATTGAGTTGGTACAACACATGTATACGGTTCCATTTTAAATGACTGCAGCGCTCCATTATGAAAACAAGTTGTTTTAACGCCGCTCTCAGCAGCATTCCAGTGATATATGACGGCGGTCTGTTGTATATGAAATAAATGCAAACTGAATCTTGAATCTTGAAAGTTGCAGCTTTTCCGCAAATCAGTATCACATGCAGTATACAGTATATCAACTGCAATATACTGTATACAACATGCAGTATACAGTGTGTCGCGAGCTCCGCGCTGGGCTGGAGCACACATTTCCTGCCCCTCTCCCTTCTGCAAACACCTCATGAGGGGTGTAATGAGGTCACAGGTCAGGCGTGCACTCGTCAGTTGTCTGATACGGTCAAGAGCAAGATCTTCCGGACTATCACTGCACTAGAGGAATGTGGATTGTTGATGAGGTACAACGTGTTTGAAACTGGGAGTTGAACACTAAGCACTTATAGAGAAGAGCTCACCATAAAACGTTATGGACTCGCGGACGGACTTGTGTTTTCAATTCAAGACGTACATGTATCAAGTTGAACTTCTACGACAGATATGACTTGGTTACCGCTTCCTAACTGTAACATTAACTGAACTTTACGCCTTTTATACATATTTGTGGTGGGGCGACAACGAGACATATTTTGACATTGAAAAATGTCGCGTTACGGAATTGTCGCCCTTTTGTAAAATATAGAAAAAGATTATTCAAAGAGCGACAATGCGCCAACGCGACAATGCGACAAATGGCCAAAATATCGCGTTGTCGAACTGTCGCGCTTTGGTTAATTTCGACACGTTTTGCTTGTTTTTGTAAGGGCGTCAATGCGGCAATACGACAACGCGACAATGTCCCTTCCAAGATTCCATAGTGATCCGTGCAAATAAAACTTAGTTATGAAATAGAAGTTTAACATGCCAGTTAAAAGATAAAGTGTAAAAATGCGCTGATGAGTTCATCTGCATGCCGAGTCTATACGCTGTGATGAACAATAATGCTCTGAGCCAATACATTTTGTCAAATGTATGACATGTATTACCTGTAGGAACATGTTGCTTATACTCGTCCATGTTTTTGACGGACAGTATAATTTACATGCTCGGTAATAGTGAGGACGGGCATCATTGTGTGTTTCCGTGCTTTGTTCAGGTGAACAATTGACTTGTCCTTGCATGTGTTTGTGACGGGTGCCACCTGTATGGCAGAATACGCTCACCTTTCGCGAACACCCGTTGGATGGCCTGAACCACTTCGGATTTTTATCCCACATCAGTCTGATACACCGTGATATAACTAAAATACTGTTCAAAGTGGTGTTTAATGCGATCACCGTAGTGTGTTACTGCAACTGTCCAAATTTTGTGTAGTGATGTTATGTAATATGTAAAATAAAGCATATTCAATTATCCAATTGATTTGATTAGAATATACTTGCGTCAGTGTATTTTATTAACGCCCAAAACTGTATTTGTTAAACACATATAATAACAGATCATATACACGCATTGTGCCTTGACTTACTATTAGCTTTAATAGGCCATTCCGGAATAAAATAGTTCCCCCCAAAGCGAGGAACATCTGTTTTAGTTTGTTTACAAGAAATGTATTCCAAAAAATATCCTCATTAGATGAGAAGGTCCGTTAAGAACTACCTCAATAAGTCAATCACAATGACATAGCGTTGTAATACATTTACATCAAGTACAAAATGGCCGACACGATAAACGTGACGGGAGATATTTCCGAAGTTGTTAATCAACCTGTGGCGATTTCAAGCCTTTGTCATCACTGATCAATTGGCCGATCATCGAAACGTGATTGTAAAGATGTGTCAAATAGATACTAAGGTAAATTCATAGATTGCTGTAGATTGTCACTACGATAGTTTGGATTTTTGGGTTGTTTTTTCTCTCTAGGATGGGTATCCTTGAACGGGCATGCAACCAAACTCTATGACTTATCCCAGAGTATGCTAAGACGCTACGTTATATATTTAAAGGGTCTAAATGATGAAAAACAACGCTTCTGTATGAATTCGTACTTGGGAATTCCCAGGGTTTTCCCCAGGAATGTGGAAGTAGTCAGTGTTTACGTAATTTCAAGAATACAGTCACCTGATAAACGTCATGTGACCCACCTCTCGTCCTATGGAAAAGCCGTATATCGTGTAAACTTCACATTACAAAATTAGTTACTGTTATAACCAAATGAAACACAACCCATTATCCGATAGAGGTAACTGTGCATAGCGGAGGGATATGTTATCTCAATAAACTTGGTAACATGGTTTGGTTTGACTTCTTGGCGCGGGTCTAAATTCCATTACCATGTTACATATCCTAAAACTGACTAATCAGCAAATCTCGCTGCACTGCGCGCGACAGATACTAGAGCAAGGCATGCCAGAAATACGAAACCTAATGCTTCCGAAAAGAAGCCTTGGGCATCACGTGCGTCGGGGGACCAGCGCCATCTGATTGGCCGTTAACAGTTGTACAAGGCGGAGCAAAAAGCATCGTTTTTCCGTCCATTTTACGCTTGAAAAACTCGACTCTTTTCCGGACACTTTCTAGACGCTAACCAATTAATGAATTTTAATGAATTTTTAGTCGTTTTTCCGTCAAATGACCATATACGGAAAAAAACGTCGTTTTCGTGTTTGCAGTGCATGCTGAGATGTCAAGTTCAAGCTTTGAGGCAGCTATTGAAAGGGACGAGTCATTAATTGTTCCATTCTTTTTTTCCAAAAATGTTGGCCCAATCTTTTTTGGCCCAGTTTGTTTTGGCATGAATTTCTTAAAAGTATTTAACACAATTTAACATAACCATGTGTATAACAGACATAATAGGTTTTGCTTTATTTGCACCTCTTTTGAGGTTACTATTATTTTTATTTATCTTTATTGTTCTTTATAATTTGATTTCAAAATGCAGTGGGAATTTATCTTATTTTGTAACTATAGAACATTAACAATCGTTAGAAAATCCACAAGCATCCCAGTTGACACTGAATAATATAATAACAAATGTATATATAACGATATGTACTGATTTGGGTTTTTTCATAGACAATATTGCCTATTATTCTGATTAATTACATTTCCAAATGAAACTATTTCATTAAGAATAACATATTCTAATATGTTGAAGGCAAAACAATAGTGATATGCACCAAAAGTAGTCCCATATTCCATACAATTAGCACGGAAGAGATATTTTCATGTTTTAGCGGCCATCTTGAATATTTTAAAATGCCCAAAGATGACAGAGTGTCATCAGTCAATTTCATAGCCTAGATTGTGTACTTAAACAAATCCAGCAATAAAAAAAACTTTATCTCCCTATTCTTGGATTTTGTCCTCTCTGCCGGACTACTAAGGGGATCGGGTGGTCAGGCTCGATGACTTCGTTGATGCATGTCATCGTATTCCAATTGCGTGGTTCGATGCTCATGATGTAAATCACTGGATTGTCTGGTCCAGACTGGGTTATTTACAAACCCCTGTCATATAGCTGGAATATTGCCGAGTGCGGCAAACAAACAAACAAACGTTGTGGTTAAGTGTGAGTGAAAGTAGAGAAGCCAACATCTGATTATATGTATTATATCTTCTTGATTACAGAGCATTCGAATGGCATGTTGCAAAACACAGAAGCTGACAATGTCCTGGCGTTTCATTACATGATGAGCATGAGTTTCATTTGAATACAGTCAAGACTTGAAAATCAATATCCATGAACATCTCCAGTTAAAACATATTTAATCACATCATTTAAGCATTAATCTTCCGGTATATCCGACTTCCTTTTGTAAGAATGCTGCCTACCGATTCTACTGTGAAGGCAGATGCGATGGTAATGCCATTCACGTACGTTTCAAACGATTAAAACAAAACATCATTGCTAACCACGTGCACCCGGGCAGTTCAGATGTGCCTCTGCATCTTCCAGGCATTTTTCCAGATATTTGATAAGCACACAGAGGAATGAAATCGATAATAAATGCCTAGAGGTACTGAAATATGAGTAAATATAGCCCATGCTTCATGTCCATAGAATTCCACCTGAATGGGGTTATGTTTGGGCTTCTGTGTTTGAAAGGTGTTCATTGCCCACATAGCGAAGTTGCACAGCAACAGAAAGGTTACCAACTCCCGACCAGGTTTCTTCCTAACCTGTATGGGTGTTGCAGCAGTCATACGATCTCCGGCCAAAATAAATATTGTCTGCATCGTAGCTTGTACCATCATCATTATATTGGAAACAATCGTCAGGGCACTCCTTTCGTCGTACGGATGTAAGATGGCAGCAACGAGACTAAAGATTGAGAAACACAACAGTCCAGTGTAGGAAATGAGGATGAGTGTGTCTTCCAGATCACCCTTGTGTTCAGAGTGGAAGCGATGATGTTTCATCTTGTGGGCAGCAATAACAAGTGCCACAGTGGTGAGCAGATAGATACAGGTGCCAGAGAGGTGTGTCAGGATAATAGCTGTGCTAGACATAGCCTCCTGGGCCGCTAGGACGTAGAACGCTATGATTGAGATGACTGACCCCACCGTGAGAAGGATGCCGAGAAATAAGCCTCGGTTGGATCCTGCACAGTCCACGCTCATTCTCTGATGGCTCATGGCTTCATCGTCTTCATCTTCGTCATCAGAATCAGTGCGGCTTCTCCTCCGTCGGTATCCAACGTTCTTCCACATTACGTATAGAATGCCTGTAAAGAAAACGTAATAGATTTGTATCACATAGGACATATGTTGACTACATCCTGTATTCTCAAAGAGTGTTCACATTTGTTAAATACTGCAGTATTATTATCATCATTACTACATGTCAATGTATTCAAGAAACACTTGCACAGAAACAAGTTCTCATGATCATAATAATCAGAAAACATTAAATGCCCTAATTCAGAGGCGACTATGCGTGTCGTAAAAGGCGACTAACGGGATCGGGTGGTCAGGCTCGCGATTATTTACAGACCGCCGTCATATAGCTGGAATATTGCTGAGTGCGGCGTAAAACAACAAACCAAACCAAACCAAAACCTAATTCAGAGTGTAATAAAATCCGGTGAGGGTGAAATCATCGTGTACTAAGCTGACGGTATGAATAACTACACATGTCTGTTAGTGTCATATTACTCCGGACTGGTACAGGCAGCAACACACACGTGCGTGCAAGTGGCTATGTACGTGCAATTATCTTGAACGCGATGTTTTCATGATTTCCCATGTCACCCCATCTAGAACAGACATCCGTCGCCAGCCATGCACGGCGATTTGCATCATCCGTCTCAGATATCACATGGCAAAATGGCCCATAATGGGAATCAACTATTAGATGTCAAAGTGGCCCATGTTGGGTCTCAACTATCATATGTCAAAGTGGCCCATGTTGGGTCTCAACTATCATATGTCAAAGTGGCCTAAGGTGGGTCTCAACTATCATATGTCAAAGTGGCCCATGGTGGGTCTCAAATATCACGTGGCAAAATGGCCCATAATGGGAATCAACTATTAGATGTCAAAGTGGTCCATGTTGGGTCTCAACTATCATATGTCAAAGTGGTCCATGATGGGTCTCAACTATCATATGTCAAACTGGCCCATGATGGGTCTCAACTATCATATGTCAAAGTGGCCTATGGTGGGTCTCAACTATCATATGTCAAAGTGGCCCATGTTGGGTGTCAACTATCATATGTCAAAGTGGCCCATGTTGGGTCTCAACTATCAAATGTCAAAGTGGCCCATGGTGGGTCTCAACTATCATATGTCAAAGTGGCCTATGGTGGGTCTCAACTATCATATGGCAAAGTGGCCCATGGTGGGTCTCAAATATCACGTGGCAAAATGGCCCATAAAGGGAATCAACTATTATATGTCAAAGTGGCCCATGGTGGGTCTCAACTATTATATGTCAGAGTGGCCCATGTTGGGTGTCAACTATCATATGTCAAAGTGGCCCATGTTGGGTCTCAACTATCAAATGTCAAAGTGGCCCATGGTGGGTCTCAACTATCATATGTCAAAGTGGCCCATGTTGGGTGTCAACTATCATATGTCAAAGTGGCCCATGTTGGGTCTCAACTATCAAATGTCAAAGTGGCCCATGGTGGGTCTCAACTATCATATGTCAAAGTGGCCTATGGTGGGTCTCAACTATCATATGTCAAAGTGGCCCATGGTGGGTCTCAAATATCACGTGGCAAAATGGCCCATAAAGGGAATCAACTATTAGATGTCAAAGTGGTCCATGTTGGGTCTCAACTATCATATGTCAAAGTGGCCCATGTTGGGTGTCAACTATCATATGTCAAAGTGGCCCATGGTGGGTCTCAACTATTATATGTCAAAGTGGCCCATGTTGGGTCTCAACTATCATATGTCAAAGTTGCCTATGGTGGGTCTCAACTATTATATGTCAAAGTGGCCTATGGTGGGTCTCAACTATTAGATGTCAAAGTGGCCCATGTTGGGTCTCAACTATCATATGTCAAAGTGGCCCATGTTGGGTCTCAACTATCATATGTCAAAGTGGCCCATGTTGGGACTCAGCTATTATATGCCACAGTGGCCCATGTTGGGTCTCAACTATTATATGCTAAAGCGGCCCATGTTGGAAATCAACTATTATATGTCAAAGCGGCCCATGTTGGGTCTCAACTATTATATGTCAAAGTGGCCCATGATGGGAATCAACTATCATATGTCAAAGTGGCCCATGTTGGGTCTCAACTATTATATGTCAAAGTGGCCCATGTTGGGTCTCAACTATCATATGTCAAAGTGGCCCATGTTGGGACTCAGCTATTATATGCCACAGTGGCCCATGTTGGGTCTCAACTATTATATGCCAAAGCGGCCCATGTTGGAAATCAACTATTATATGTCAAAGCGGCCCATGTTGGGTCTCAACTATTATATGTCAAAGTGGCCCATGATGGGAATCAACTATCATATGTCAAAGTGGCCCATGTTGGGTCTCAACTATTATATGTCAAAGTAGCCCATGTTGGGAATCAACTATCATATGTCAAAGTAGCCCATGTTGGGACTCAACTTTTATATGTCAAAGTGGCCCATGTTTGGTCTCAACTAATATATGTCAAAGTGGCCCATGTTGGGTCTCAACTATCATATGTCAAAGTGGCCCATGGTGGGTCTCAACTATCATATGTTTAAGTGGCCCATGTTGGGACTCAACTATCATATGTCAAAGTGGCCCATGTTGGGAATCAGCTTTTATATGTCAAAGTGGCCCATGTTTGGTCTCAACTAATATATGTCAAAGTGGCCCATGTTGGGTCTCAACTATTATATGTCAAAGTGGCCCATGATGGGAATCAACTATCATATGTCAAAGTAGCCCATGTTGGGAATCAACTATCATATGTCAAAGTAGCCCATGTTGGGACTCAACTTTTATATGTCAAAGTGGCCCATGTTTGGTCTCAACTAATATATGTCAAAGTGGCCCATGTTGGGTCTCAACTATCATATGTCAAAGTGGCCCATGGTGGGTCTCAACTATCATATGTTTAAGTGGCCCATGTTGGGACTCAACTATCATATGTCAAAGTGGCCCATGTTGGGAATCAGCTTTTATATGTCAAAGTGGCCCATGTTTGGTCTCAACTAATATATGTCAAAGTGGCCCATGTTGGGTCTCAACTATTATATGTCAAAGTGGCCCATGATGGGAATCAACTATCATATGTCAAAGTAGCCCATGTTGGGAATCAACTATCATATGTCAAAGTAGCCCATGTTGGGACTCAACTTTTATATGTCAAAGTGGCCCATGTTTGGTCTCAACTAATATATGTCAAAGTGGCCCATGTTGGGTCTCAACTATCATATGTCAAAGTGGCCCATGGTGGGTCTCAACTATCATATGTTTAAGTGGCCCATGTTGGGACTCAACTATCATATGTCAAAGTGGCCCATGTTGGGAATCAGCTTTTATATGTCAAAGTGGCCCATGTTTGGTCTCAACTATTATATGTCAAAGTGGCCCATGATGGGAATCAACTATCATATGTCAAAGTGGCCCATGTTGGGAATCAGCTTTTATATGTCAAAGTGGCCCATGTTTGGTCTCAACTAATATATGTCAAAGTGGCCCATGTTGGGTCTCAACTATCATATGTCAAAGTGGCCCATGGTGGGTCTCAACTATCATATGTTTAAGTGGCCCATGTTGGGACTCAACTTTTATATGTCAAAGTAGCCAATGTTGGGACTCAGCTATTATGTGTCAAAGTAGCCCATGTTTGGACTTAACTATTATATGTCAAAGTAGCCCATGTTGGGAATCAACTGTTAGATGTCAAAGTGGCCCATGTTGGGTCTCAACTATTCTATGTCAAAGTGGTCCATGTTGGGTCTCAACTATTCTATGTCAAAGTAGCCCATGTTTGGACTTAACTATTATATGTCAAAGTAGCCCATGTTGGGAATCAACTGTTAGATGTCAAAGTGGCCCATGTTGGGACTCAACTATTCTATGTCAAAGTGGCCCATGTTGGGACTCAGCTATTATATCCCGCATATACTCACAACCTTTACGTTGATTTTCTTTACTTTTTCTCCCAATACCGATATATATATCTCTCCCACTTTTGGAAGCGATTGTTCGGCCATTGCTTTTATCTGCCTTGTCCAGCTATGCATCTATGGGAACAATGCACTGGACACATCCCTCAAAATGTAGTGTCGTATGGCAAGCCGTTTTCACATTTATTACGGAATTACAGATATCTTCAATGGTTTTAAAGATATCTTGAATTGAATTGAAGATAATTCAATCGAATTGAAGATATCTTGAATGGAATTGAAGACATCTTAAATGCAGATAATTGTAGATATCTGCAGTAAAATTTAAGATATCACGAAATGAATTAATTATGTGGTGAAGCGTATAACTGATATCTTGAAAAAAATTGCTGATATCTCAAATTCGATTATTGATATCAAAATATGATTTAAAGATATCAAAATGTCATGTTTTGTTATGATGTCAATAATTCAATTCCTGATATCTTGAAACTAAATACAGATATCAATTATATAATTATTGATATCTTCATTTGTTGCCATTATTAAAGATGTTACATTAATAATGTTACTTATATTAGATTACTGATATCAATAATTGATATAAAGATATCATCAGAATTTTTAATGATATCTTTAATTGGATTTTTTATATCAGTAGCGGTCAGAATTAATGATATCTTGAATTGAAATAAAGATATCTGTAATGCATTTGTGGATATGTATAACTTATTTCAAGAAATCTTGAATTGAATTTAAGATATCTTGAATTTATTTCTAATATATTTATGTACACTAGAATGGTAATTGTTTAATAATATCTTAAATATATTTAGAGATATCACAAACTAATTTGTTGATATCACCGTAACATTTTAAGATATCAGTAATTGTATTATGGATATCAGAAATGAATTTAAGATATCTCTAATTATTTTTTGATATCTTAAGAACATTATTGATATCTTTAAATAAAATACCGATATCTTTAAAACAATTGAAGATGTCTGTAATTCCGTAATAAATGTGAAAACGGCTTGCCATAGTGTCGTCCAATTTACGACGTCATCAAGTTACGAGCGCATGTTAGAATCAATAGAAAGTACGTCATGATAGAACCATGTTCATGCGATTTATCGCGTAGCTATTTTATATAGGTTTATAACAGCTGTTAAATTGTACGTTCAAATGTTGGGATATAGCAACATTTTCAGTAACGCCGTTGTAGATTTAAGATCCACGTTCGAAGTTGCATTGATTGCACACCAGTGGTAGACATCTGTCACTTTGAGCTGTGGGGGGTTGGAGAGGAAAAAGATACATTCGTGTCAACAAAGGCAGGTAGCGGAAAATCACTTTCATACGAAAGTGTACCAGTCGTGAATGTTGATTTTGTGAAACTTTCTCTGTTTGGACTATCGATATGTGCCATAGTCAAATCATATTTAGCTCAGGAATGTGGGCTTGATGTGGCAGGGGTGGAAACAAGACTTTGATAAAAAGTCTAATGGACGCTCTTGCCTCGCGAAGATGTGGTAGAGAGGAAATGTACATCATTTCCCAATTCGAAGTTAGCGGTGTAACGCTTTACGTCGCAGGTATGCACTAATCAATATCGTCGTCATGCAGGCCGCTTTGTAAATTAAACTATGTAAGCGCGTTTTTCTGTGCGTTGTGTTTTGATTTCATGTAGAACGTCATTATGCCTCACACTCAGGCTTTATGCACACTGTAACATGCATTTAACTTAGAGAAATATTTTCTTTCTCTTGGAGTATTAGAAACACTCATAAACCTTCACAGACACTCGGGGGCAAAACAAAGTAAACATTGTTTACTTTTTTTATGTAATTGATATTTGAAAGAACAGTTGTTAAGTTTGAGTATGCTTGCCGTAAAAGGTGACTATGCTTGTCGTAAAAGGCGACTAATGGGATCGGGTGGTCAGGCTCGCTGACTTGGTTGATGCATGTCATCGATCCCAATTGCGTGGATCGATGCTCATGATATTAATCACTGGATTGTCTGGTCCGAACTCGATTATTTACAGACCGCCGTCATATAGCTGGAATATTGCTGAGTGCGGCGTTAAACTACAAACCAACCAACCAATCATTCCTGCAACAAAATCATCTGTGGCTGTGTACTTGTGTTCAAACATAAGTTGGTTCAATGAAGACTGGAGTAAGAAATGAATTTGCAAACACATGGCCCCTACGATGTTTAAAATTGTGTAAATCTGTGCTTAAAAAAATGCAGATTATTGATTTCCCAAGATACGAGTACATGTATGTCTAAGATACCCATCAGCAGTTGTGTATTATGCGAACATTTTTTGTTAAATTAAAAAAATGCAATCAAATTATATTTTATAAAATATAACCATGTAGAATCATTCTTTGAATGCTGACTAGGCGCCAATACAGTTCATTTTTTTATATAATATCACTAACTATGGTAAAATAAACGGTTTGCAGACACAGTCAGACTGGTCCTAACTCAAATATTTTCATTCTCCATGACATAGTGAATAGAAAGATTCACTCACTCACTTATCGTGAACGTCTTTCTCTCCTTGTACCACAGTCAGCTAGGGTACAGGGCTATTCCAATTTTCTAAGGCGCTGCAATTTACTGTGCACAGGTGCGTGCCTTCAGCGCGCCAAAAACCTGTGATCGTGGGTTCGAGTCCCGGATGATTCATTGTCTTTGTTTCTCAATACCATACCCGTGCTCGTGGTTTCACTAAAGTGGTGAGACATTTCGGGCCTCCCTAGCAACATCAAGCTGACACGCCTTGATATAACTGGAATACTGTTCGAAGCGACGTTCAACCAAACTCACCCGCTCTACGTTCAGCTAAACTACGTAGCCCAAATAACCAGTGGCTGCACACTTACCTGCACACATCAGGCTGTACTCAATAGTGCATGGGTACAGGTAGGGGCCTGAGGACTCGACAAGCTCAGTCATGATAGTTTTCTGTGGACAGACATCTCCAGTCGACGTCAACACTGATGCTGCAGAACAAAATCCGTCATGATAAATCATCATCATCATCATCATCATCATCATCATAATCATCATAATAATAATGTACGCATGTGTCCTTTCTACAGACGAATTAGGCTTTGAAAAGATACACTTCGCCCATTAATGTCGCGGTAATATCGCGATACTCCTCCATCACAATATGTTCCTTTGCAATCGACCTCAGGCCTGTATTGCGGCACAATTGGTATTGCTATTGTGGTACAATTGCGTTAGTATCGTAACACTATCGCGCCACCATTACGCCCATATCGACATACCATTGCGCCACTATGTGCATTTAACATACAATTATTCCGTGGCTTCCGCACTATTTGCACGGCAACGTTTCTCCACTTTAACTGTATTATCATGACACTATCGCCATTACACAACACTTATAAGTTATAAAAGAAAGTGCATACATATAGACTCCCCTAAGACAAATAACGATACCTTGAAGCGCCCGTCCGTGTATAAGTGTTGTGTTGTCCTCATCCCACAGAGACTCATTGGCATGACCGTTTGTACCATAGCTTACTGTGTGGTCGGCGTGGTAGTCATGGTGATGACTCTCGTTATGTTGACCACGATGGTGCGTGTGTATCGTGTGCAACGTCTCAACGACGATACTCCTAAACCAGACACATATATTTGCAGCACACATGTGCATCAGCCCAAACCTTGCAATGATCTTGTAACGATGGATGCACATCTGAAACAGTAAACATCCACCTGTATCCAATCCTCGGTCTTCCAGTGTATTAGTGGATTAATTTCCAAACAAAACAAAATAAAATGACTTTACAATTTTCATCTATCATATAACTAACTTAGCACGATATATCTCTCCCTAGTGTTTGACGGCGATTGCAAGCATCGTGTATTTCGAATCGTGCTCACAACGAAGCTGTGGTAGCGAAAGCGTCGAGTGTATTTATCGCAATAGAAAAGACCATTCGTCACAACTCGTCCCATTCCAAGGAGATTCGTCCCCCTATCGATAAATGTTCTGTTCGAATGTACAACAAACCAATCAGACTGCATGCATTACTTTAAGTACTTCAGGCAAAGAATCCCTCAGGAATAATTTTTGAATTTGCATATGTCTTGCATCTAAAACATACGGCCAAATGTGTTCAAACATGCCGTATAATACCGCAAGTATAATACCCACGCCACCCTTCTCCCAGTTACACATGACTCACGTACATGACACACAAGGATTTACACCCACACCACCCTTCTCCCAGTTACACATGACTCACGTACATGACACACAAGGATGTACACCCACACCACCCTTCTCCCAGTTACACATGACTCACGTACATGACACACAAGGATTTACACCCACGCCACCCTTCTCCCAGTTACACATGACTCACGTACATGACACACAAGGATTTACACCCACACCACCCTTCTCACAGTTACACATGAGTCACATACATGACACACAAGGATTTACACCCACACCACCCTTCTCACAGTTACACATGACTCACGTGCATGACACACAAGGATTTACACCCACACCACCCTTCTCCCAGTTCCACATGACTCACGTACATAACACACAAGGATTTACACCCACACCACCCTTCTCCCAGTTCCACATTACTCACGTGCATGACACACAAGGATTTACACCCACACCACCCTTCTCCCAGTTATACATGACTCACGTACATAACACACAAGGATTAACACCCACGCCACCCTTCTCCCAGTTACACATGACTCACGTACATAACACACAAGGATTAACACCCACACCACCCTTCTCCAAGTTACACACGACTCACGTACATGACACACAAGGATTAACACCCACGCCACCCTTCTCCCAGTTACACACGACTCACGTACATGACACACAAGGATTAACACCCACGCCACCCTTCTCCCAGTTACACATGACTCACGTACATGACACACAAGGATTAACACTCACATCACCCTTCTCCCAGTTGCACATGAGTCACGTACATGACACACAAGGATTAACACCCACGCCACCCTTCTCCCAGTTACACATGACTCACGTACATGACACACAAGGATAAACACCCACACCACCCTTCTCCCAGTTACACACGACTCACGTACATGACACACAAGGATTAACACTCACATCACCCTTCTCCCAGTTACACATGAGTCACGTACATGACTCACAAGGATAAACACCCACGCCACCCTTCTCCCAGTTACACATGACTCACGTACATGACACACAAAGATCTACACCCACACCACCCTTCTCCCAGTTCCACATTACTCACGTGCATGACACACAAGGATTTACACCCACACCACCCTTCTCCCAGTTATACATGACTCACGTACATAACACACAAGGATTAACACCCACGCCACCCTTCTCCCAGTTACACATTACTCACGTACATGACACACAAGGATTTACACCAACACCACCCTTCTCCAAGTTACACACGACTCACGTACATGACACACAAGGATTAACACCCACACCACCCTTCTCCAAGTTACACACGACTCACGTACATGACACACAAGGATTAACACCCACGCCACCCTTCTCCCAGTTACACACGACTCACGTACATGACACACAAGGATAAACACCCACGCCACCCTTCTCCCAGTTACACATGACTCACGTACATGACACACAAGGATTAACACTCACATCACCCTTCTCCCAGTTGCACATGAGTCACGTACATGACACACAAGGATTAACACCCACGCCACCCTTCTCCCAGTTACACATGAGTCACGTACATGACACACAAGGATAAACACCCACACCACCCTTCTCCCAGTTACACACGACTCACGTACATGACACACAAGGATTAACACTCACATCACCCTTCTCCCAGTTACACATGAGTCACGTACATGACTCACAAGGATAAACACCCACGCCACCCTTCTCCCAGTTACACATGACTCACGTACATGACACACAAAGATCTACACCCACACCACCCTTCTCCCAGTTCCACATTACTCACGTGCATGACACACAAGGATTTACACCCACACCACCCTTCTCCCAGTTATACATGACTCACGTACATAACACACAAGGATTAACACCCACGCCACCCTTCTCCCAGTTACACATTACTCACGTACATGACACACAAGGATTTACACCAACACCACCCTTCTCCAAGTTACACACGACTCACGTACATGACACACAAGGATTAACACCCACGCCACCCTTCTCCCAGTTACACATGACTCACGTACATGACACACAAGGATTAACACCCACATCACCCTTCTCCCAGTTACACATGAGTCACGTACATGACACACAAGGATTAACACCCACACCACCCTTCTCCCAGTTACACATGACTCACGTACATGACACACAAGGATTTACACCCACACCACCCTTCTCCCAGTTACACATGACTCACGTACATGACACACAAGGATGTACACCCACACCACCCTTCTCCCAGTTACACATGACTCACGTACATGACACACAAGGATTTACACCCACGCCACCCTTCTCCCAGTTACACATGACTCACGTACATAACACACAAGGATTTACACCCACACCACCCTTCTCACAGTTACACATGAGTCACATACATGACACACAAGGATTTACACCCACACCACCCTTCTCCCAGTTACACATGACTCACGTGCATGACACACAAGGATTTACACCCACACCACCCTTCTCCCAGTTACACATGACTCACGTACATAACACACAAGGATTTACACCCACACCACCCTTCTCCCAGTTCCACATTACTCACGTGCATGACACACAAGGATTTACACCCACACCACCCTTCTCCCAGTTATACATGACTCATGTACATAACACACAAGGATTAACACCCACGCCACCCTTCTCCCAGTTACACATGACTCACGTACATAACACACAAGGATTAACACCCACACCACCCTTCTCCAAGTTACACACGACTCACGTACATGACACACAAGGATTAACACCCACGCCACCCTTCTCCCAGTTACACACGACTCACGTACATGACACACAAGGATTAACACCCACGCCACCCTTCTCCCAGTTACACATGACTCACGTACATGACACACAAGGATAAACACCCACGCCACCCTTCTCCCAGTTACACATGACTCACGTACATGACACACAAGGATTTACACCCACACCACCCTTCTCCCAGTTACACATGACTCACGTACATGACACACAATGATTAACACTCACATCACCCTTCTCCCAGTTACACATGAGTCACGTACATGACACACAAGGATTAACACCCACGCCACCCTTCTCCCAGTTACACATGAGTCACGTACATGACACACAAGGATAAACACCCACACCACCCTTCTCCCAGTTACACACGACTCACGTACATGACACACAAGGATTAACACTCACATCACCCTTCTCCCAGTTACACATGAGTCACGTACATGACTCACAAGGATAAACACCCACGCCACCCTTCTCCCAGTTACACATGACTCACGTACATGACACACAAAGATCTACACCCACGCCACCCTTCTCCCAGTTCCACATTACTCACGTGCATGACACACAAGGATTTACACCCACACCACCCTTCTCCCAGTTATACATGACTCACGTACATAACACACAAGGATTAACACCCACGCCACCCTTCTCCCAGTTACACATTACTCACGTACATGACACACAAGGATTTACACCAACACCACCCTTCTCCAAGTTACACACGACTCACGTACATGACACACAAGGATTAACACCCACGCCACCCTTCTCCCAGTTACACATGAGTCACGTACATGACACACAAGGATTAACACCCACGCCACCCTTCTCCCAGTTACACATGACTCACGTACATGACACACAAGGATTAACACCCACACCACCCTTCTCCCAGTTACACATGACTCACGTACATGACACACAAGGATTAAAACCCACACCACCCTTCTCCCAGTTACACATGACTCACGTACATGACACACAAGGATTTACACCCACACCACCCTTCTCCCAGTTACACATGAGTCACGTACATGACACACAATGATTTACACCCACACCACCCTTCTCCCAGTTACACATGACTCACGTGCATGACACACAAGGATTTACCTTCGAATTGAGAAATATGAAGTATAGTTGTGTGAATGTGAAGATGAGGTGGAGAAAGGGTTCTGCTGACTTCATGATGTTGGAACAGTGTGCGAGGCCGTCTTCATACACCAGGTATTGCCCGAAGTGGAGGCCACTGTGGATCATGCTACCGATACCGAAACCTGCAGGGAAACACATACAATTATATACTGACTGTCTCGAATGCTTAAGGTTTCACACACTCACAGACGCCTTTGTAAGGACAGTGGTCCACATCCAAATTAAAGGCTTTCTTAAGGCAATTGTCAAATAAAACTCCTTTCCAGCTGCTGTATCTACGTTTGGGTGGCTGATTGGTCTAACGGGCCAAACATATATGAGCAGAGTTACGTCCTTTGACTGTGCCAGGATCCGCTAATCGTGAGTTCGAATACCAAATTCGACTCTCGTATGATCATTGGTTTATTAGCACCACAGCCCTGCTTGTTGGGTTCACTTTGATAAGACCTGACTGACTCGCCCACATGAAGATTTCGCTCAGTCATAAACAGCTGTTCTAAAGTTCTCGCTTCCTTTCCATTTGTATGGGTTCTCTGCGCTTGTAAACGGCAGAGGAAATTCAAAACTAACATATCGTTTTAAGAAAATCAGAAAATACGCCATCGTGTCACTTGATGATTTGGTCCATCACGTGACTGTCCGGGTTGTTTACAACGTCGTCGCAAGGCAGGAGTACAGCTGTGCGACGTCCAGCAACAAACAGACTCTTACTTCGCATGCACATTGTGGGTCCTACACGGTTACCCTTTTCGCGAACCCCTGGTGTCATTACAGATTTTCAATGATCCATTCATATTTTGCCTTTTATTTTTCCATGTAATTCTTTTTCGGCGGATAATCGAGCCTGGTTATCCTCTGGCATTGACGTTTTATATTTTCTTGTAATGTGTGAGAGAGAAACGAGTAAAAATATCCATAATGCAACATTTATTTATTTACATACCGACGGCACCAAGGCGTAAGTAGAAACTGCCGGTATGAGGAGATACGTCTACAGAGATATGCCTCCTGCGCTTTCCTCTCGTTGACGAGGAGTCATCTGCCTTGGTGGAGGTCTTTGCCCACCCTCTCGTGATGGAAATTGATCGTGTCAGCGTCTTCGTCAGCAATTCCGTCTTGAGTTTCTTCCTCCGGAGCAAGTAAGCGTAGACGTAGACGAGGAAGATGATGCTGACCACGTACAGGTAGATGTAAAAACCCTGAGATGAAGGATATATTCTCATTACATGACTCTCGAAAGCTGCTGTTAATAAAAGAATATTAATATTGTTTCATACAGTGTGTTTGAGATGTGGCCATAATAACACGCCGGGATTCGATGGTTCGAATCCCAGATACGTCAAGATTATGACCCTTGGCTTGTTGCAAACTTCTACCACATTGTACCTTAATTTCGTCACTTTGGTCGTTCTTCCTACATTAGGCCTATAACTGATATACTGTTCAAAGCGGCGTTACGCCAACTCACTCACTCAACTCAACTAAGTCAGCGAGCCTGACCACCCGATTCCGTCAGTCGCCTGTTACGACAAGCCTGGGTTGCTGAAGACCTATTCTAACCCGGATCTTCACGGATCTGTTAAATACCAACCTCAAATGCGTACATGTGCCTTGTGGTCACAAAGGACTCTGTGATTGGTATGACTGATCCCAGCACCACCAGCAATATGCCGTACAGTCCACTCAGCATCAGGAACAGGCTGCCTCTGAAGGAAAAGACCATCTCCAGTAGGGGTGATAATAACATAGGCATGTATACTCAACAGAAAAAGAAACTGATCATATACTGTGACATTTTAGAAGCCTTTTACTGAAACTTTATCTTTGAAGATTTAAGGTGGGCCAGGTTTTAAGAATTAACGAGTGACTATGGTTTTACGCCGATTTAGCAATATTCCCGCAATATCACGGCGAGATACACCTGACATGACCAGATGGTCGGGGTGGGGGTTGGGGCGGGTTCATTCCTCTATAGAGATGTGCGGCAGTTTGAGATGGAGATGGAAAACTACGTTTGGCGTGTGTTTCTTTTGAAGCATCATTGAAACCTACACTGGTGCATCAAGCTGCGGTACGAATGTCCCTCAGAATAAAAAATCAGACAGCAATCGGACACAGACACAGTTTTGTGTCACAAATTTGTAGATGTGTATATAGTCAACAAGTTTCACCGTAATACCAACTGACAAAGACTGAAGTAGTGAGTGAGTGAGTGAGTAGGGTTATACGCCGCTTTTAGCAATATTCCAGCAATATCACGGCGGGGGACACCAGAAATGGGCTTCACACATTGTACCCATGTGGGGAATCGAACCCAGGTCTTCGGCGTGACGAGCGAACGCTTTAACCACTAGGCTACCCGACCGCCCCAAAGACTGAAGTACTAGATTCCGCGGTGATGCGGCCATCAAACCATCTGTTTCAATCAGAGGTGATTATCGTTGGTTTCACCATTAAAGCTGATGCGCCGTGATATAACTGGATAACTGTTAAATTAAAAACGGCGTTAAACCAAACCCAATCACTCACTCACTCATACATCTGCTTCGGTCTCGCGCGCAAGACACACACAATCATGACACAACCTTTATTTGTGGAACTGCTTCTTCCATGTTGTTTGTGATCATGTAACTTTGCAACAGGTATGTAAACCCATACATTGGAAGAATATAGAATAAATAGAATAGAACATCTTACTTGACGTCCATGACTTTCACAGCTGCAGATGCGCCACAGTTCCCGTCAGTCGTGTCGCTGAATGTAGGCAGCATTTGAGCATCTTCACTTCCTGCTGGGAAAAAATGTAGTGTTCATTATCATGGTCATGTAGCGGTCATCTAGTGGTCACGCCGCGGTCAGCCAATAAGATAAGTACGTGTCAGTTTAACTTCAGAGCTAGTCTGTCTTACAGACCCTGATACAAATATATATCAAATACAGCCCATGCAAGTCTATAATGTTTGGCAAGTCTAGATCACTGCAGTATCTGAAAATGAAGAGAGTCACTGGGCTCCTTTTTATTATATTTTTATTAAGATAAATGAACAACTGGTTTCATTTCAGAGACTAGATTTTAGTCTACTTCAGAGCACACACATGAATGTTTACGTTTCAATACTTCAAAGTCAAACCTTTTTTATTTTTACCTTCTTCGTGTTCGTCAATATAGAACATCGTACGTCCAGCCGACCGCGTCTATTTGTTACCTTTGAATACAAACACGACGTAGGGGCTTCAGAAAAAAATCATTTTACGACGTTCAGCTTGTACACGACTGCCGCCACCTTGACTTGTTGGGTGGTTCCAGATACAATTGTTTCATGACTCAATGTTTTGCATTTTACGCGAGGCGATGAGAAAATAGTACTATCCCAAATATCAATAATAAATTTGAAAAACAATAGACAGATGTCCTGTCGTCATAGAATCAATCACTTCGCGAACTACTGATTTTCTTAGCCTGATAATGATTTAGTGGGAATTGTCCTCAAAGACATCTTGTTTGTACGTATCATGGCTCTCCTCTTCGCGCCAGGCATGCTACTCTGGCTGGGATATTTACATGTTGCTTAAGACAAAAATCAGTAGCCTGTCCACTTGTGAAGAATGACACAGATACAATCGAATACACGTATGGTTCAGCGAACCTGAGATGGGTTCGTTTCCAAACACCCCCTCAGGCTCAGGACAGACGGATATAGTGACAGATATCACACCATGGTAGAATCTTACACATAGTCCTTTAAAGATAGATTTATTCTATTATTTGTGTCCATATGATGTTGCTGTCTATGTCTACATGCGGTAATTAGTGTCGCTTCGACAAGAGTGTCGCTTTGGTGAGATCAAGCGATATCTCCTAGGGGATACATCGCTGCAATGAAACTGCATCACAATGCTTTGCAGAGCATTGTGACGTCGTCGTTACCATCACGTCACAACCAAATGACACCAAATGACAAATGACGCTGAAGTAGGTTAGCCGCCCCTTTTCCTTTTAAGACAATCGTTACTTATGCTTATTAACTGAAGAAGAAGAATGATTTCGGATGATAAATAGAAATATATCCACACTTTCCGATTAATCATCGATAAAAGTTTAAATCTCCTCGGCAAGCCTCGCATTGCTTTTAACTTGTATCGACTCATGTAGGTATATTTGAAACTCTGAATTTTCTATATGTGACACTAATATATTGTCTTTGATTATTGTCCCGTGAAGATCCGGGTTAGAATTGGTCTTCAGCAACCCATGCTTGTCGTAAGAGGCGATTAACGGGATCGGGTGGTCAGGCTCGCTGACTTGGTTGAGTTGAGTGAGTGAGTTTGATGAGTGAGATCCGGGTTAGAATTGGTCTTCAGCAACCCATGCTTGTCGTAAGAGGCGATTAACGGGATCGTGTGGTCAGGCTCGCTGACTTGGTTGAGTTGAGTGAGTGAGTTTGGTGAGTGAGATCCGGGTTAGAATTGGTCTTCAGCAACCAACCTATGCTTGTCGTAAGATGCGACTAACGGGATCGGGTGGTCAGGCTCGCTGACTTGGTTGAGTTTGGTGAGTGAGATCCGGGTTAGAATTGGTCTTCAGCAACGTTTGGTGTCCGGTGCAATGGGAGACATTAAATTTGTACCCAATCGCAATATTATCAATCTTTAATGTCTATGTACTGTCAGAAAACAAGATCTTCAGCAAGCGATACTTGTCGTTAGAGGCGACGAATGGGATTGGGTGTAGCCAGGCTCGCTGACTTGGTTGACGCATGTCATCGTACCCCAATTGCGCATATATATATGCTCATGACGTCATATCACTGGATTGTCTGACCAAGACAAGATTATTTACAGACCGCCGAATATATGCATGAATATTGCTGCTTGATCTTTAAAGAACAAACAAACACATAAACAAACTTTGATAAATAATGGTAATTATTAACTTAAAATAGTAAGTAGATGACTTGCTTTATGACTGCTAAACATCCTAAGGCGCCGCGATTCGCTGTGCAGAGTTGCGTCACTTGGGCACGCCAAAAAACAATGATTGTGGGTTCAAATCCCGGTTCGCCCCGATTATGTTTCTAGGTTTGTCAGCACCATACCCGTGCTCGTGGGTTTCACCGAAGTGGTAAAAGTCTGAGACCTGCATCACTTCGGGCTATCCTCCCACACTAAGCTGACACGCCTTGATATAACTCAGTCTGGAATACTGTTAAAATCGGCGTTAAACCCAACTCACTCCCTCACTCACTGAAATGATGCAAGTAATGGGTACCACGGCGTGAACCTGAACACTAGAACATATCCCCTTGGACTTATTGAATCGTTATGGCAAATCAGATTCAGGAGGATTGTTCTTAATTCTCTGTGTATTTCACTCTCATACCACATGTAAATTAGTCTGAGGCGTAACTGTACGTGACGTTACTGGATGATTATCGGACATCACGAAGTGATTTGCTAAATTGTTGCTAACGTCCACTGTTGGGGTGAACGTACAGTAAACTACGGTTATAACGAACTCAAAGGGACTACTAATTTTAGTTCGTTATAACCGTAATTCGTTATAAGCATATATACAGCATAACTACAGCATATAGTCGGGATTAAAAAGTTAGTTCGTTATATCCGTTAGTTCGTTATAAGCGTGTTCGTTATAACCGTAGTTTACTGTAGTTTGATAGACTGGGGTTCTGTTGGAAGTGGAAGCAGGAATCACTTACCGTCAATATTCTGCGAGCTGCCATTCAGGTCTCGCGAGTTTGAATCTTGGGGCAGGAAGAAAGTCACTGTGCCATCCCCTGCATAAAAGAACATGACACTCAAACATCGGAGATAGTTTGGGCGGAGAAAGTGATTTAAAGATCGGAGATAGTTTGGGCGGAGAAAGTGATTCAAAGATCGGAGATAGTTTTGGCAAATAGCCAGTCCGGTTTACAGGGTTCGAATAACCGATGGCCTAATTTAAAGATCGGGGATACTTTAGGATGAATCGCCGTAGCATGACTCAATCGAGAAGCATATAATATAGCAAATATGTTTCCATTTCATCTGGCAGGCGGGGTAGCCTAGTGGTTAAAGTGTTCGTTATCCTCGCCGAAGGGTCGGGTTTGATTCTCCACACGGGTGTAATGTGTAAAACCAATTGTGTATGCACACCACCACCCCCCACCACCCCACCACCCCACCCCCCTCCCCCCCCACACACACACCACCACCACCCCCCCACACACACACACCCCTGCCGTGATATTGATTTAATATTGCTCAAGGCGGCGTAAAACCATACTCACTCACTCAATTTCATCTACTTGCGGATGTGAGCCATGCTGGATTATATAGAAGGCGGATATAATATAGCAAATATGTTTCCATTTCATCTGGCAGGCGGGGGAGCCTAGTGGTTAAAGTGTTCGTTATCCACGCCGAAGGGCCGGGTTCGATTCTCCAAACACGGGTGTAATGTGTAAAACCGATTGTGTATGCACACCACCCCCACCCCCACCCACCCCTACACACACACACACACACACACACACACACACACACACACACACACACACACACACACACACACACACACCACCCCCACCCCCCCCCCCCCCCCCCCCCCCCCACACACACACACACACACACACACACACCACCCGACACACACACACCCCTGGGTGAGCCATGCTGGATTATATAGAAGGCGGATAACAGAGCCAAATTATTCAAAGATCGGTGATAGTTTTGGACGAGGGCAAGGTCGGTTTAAAGTAAGGTCGGATAACAAATAGCCTGATTTAAGATTGAACATACTTTTAGCCAGTGTTTATGGATCGCGTGAAAGGGGACCTTATTTGGAGATTGGAGACAGTGCAGGCGATGACAAAGCCTGTTTATAAAGAATACACCGTCGCATTGGTATATTCAAGACACATGCGTGAAGGGGTTGCTTTTAACAGTACATTTTCGATGTGAAATTCTTGGGACATCAGTGGGCACGGGTGGCCCAGTCGTCTAAGGCGCCGCGATTCGCTGTGTTCGAGATTTTTTATCATATCCAAATGTCGCATTCTCGCGTTGTCGACTTTTGACAAAAAGTGCTTTGTATCAAAAACCCGCGAATGCGAGATCGCGAGAACGCGATATTTTGCCAAATCTCGCGTTCTCGCGATCTCGCATTCTCGGATTTTAGTTCGTTTCAAAAGGTCGAGATCGCGAGAATGCGAGATCGCGAGAATGTCCCTTACGGTGTTCCATAGTATGGTCGTCTTACCTGACTTTGATTCCTCCAAAGGTGAAATGCCATTCTCACTTTCTTGAGCAAACGCGACTTGAAATTGTAAAATCTGAAATTAGTATTATCCACATGTTCATATGCAGAAGTTATCTTCACATTCTCCAGTAAAACACATGTATACATTTCATTAATCAGAAGTAATGTAAGTTTAAATTCAAACGTATTGTACAGTTCTAACATAAAGTGAAACTTTTCCCAGATAACACTTAACACTTGATAAACACAAACTTAGTATAAAAATAGGATAAAAATCAAAACCGTAGTTACGATAATATAAATTTATGTAGTCATGCAAAATCACTTGCACGACTATATGTAGTTTATTAAAAGTCACGTCTATCGTTAATGTATATATTTTAAAATTTCAAATACTCCTTAAATTGCAATACATATGAAATTTTATCATAACACCACCAATCTGTAATCTGTAATTCGAAACTAATATTACTCATTTCAAAAGCCCATGTTTGTACAAATATTAGAAAAGTAATGATCGATTTACATACAAAATATTTCAGAAAAAAATCAACACATACCATCTGAACTGAACGCCAAGCAATAATCCAAAACACATACTGACCAGTGGCTACTATGCACCTTATATACTCAGCCCAACACAATAACAAAGGGTATCCTACAGAGAAGCAGAATGCACTGGGTATTCTATTTAAAGCATTGCGCAAACGCCTCTTCACTGATTTAGAAGGATTATGCAGTGGTTCAGTGGCTGACTATGCTGAATCTGTCTCCACACTGACGAGGCGATGATTACGTCTACTTATCTTGAAAATCTAAAACCAGCTGGATACAGGTGAGCTTAATATCCATTGACTCGTAAAAGGCATATAGGATTACACAAATAAGCGTCAACAGAGGGGAACGGTCATTGCCTTGCGTCACGGTGTGCGGTTATTCTTTAGTTGAAGAGACATCGGCACGTATGTTTGACTTGGTACCCTTCAATGCTAATTGCTTTTTTTAATGACTGCACTTAAAATGTATTCGTTGCGAAAAAATAAAACACCTTTCTTAAATTAATTAATTTGAAGTAAATTGGTTCATTGAAGAATGGGGTTAGAAAAAGATTTGCAACCTAACAAAATAGTTGAAATGTTGAAACTCTGTACTGAAAAAGCAAATTTGTTGATTTTCAAAGATAAGATGTCTATGATACCCACGAGCAGTTTGTTTTGTGCGATTTTTTATTATTTTTCAAGTATAGAAGTACTCTTTCCGTACTGGCTAAGAGCAAGACTGAGTACAGTTCTTTTGCACAAATATAACCGAGAGGTATATTTTTGCTCATCAGTTTATATGGACCATGTTTCAGAAGATATGTAATTCGCATTAATTCACATGTTTGAAAACCGTCCAAGTAATCAATAAGCGCTGAAAACCATTATATGTTTGATATTGATATCCAACAAAAAAGAAAGCGGATACGTACCAATTTTCCATAGTTAATTAATCAATAATTGCTAGCGTTATTGCTCGAATGGTGTTGTGTGTTTTAACAAACGTCACTGTGATCATGTTCTTATTAATCGTATTTTTACAATTCATCGCAAACTTATTTTATTAGATTAAACAAATTCTAAATTTAAAATTCAACTTCTGCCTCGAAAATGTTTCTAAAACGTGTTATGGTGAAATGTCAAGTTATTTTCAAACCCCATTAGAAATGCGCACAGCACAGAAAGGGAACGCAATTTAGTTCAGACATTTTTCACACACAAATAAGCATTCAAACTTGACAAATGGTTTGTTTGTTTGTTTGATAGATGTTGAGTGAGCAGACTGGTCGAACAATAAATTTAAGTTACAACATTTTCCTTTTTCCCTGAGGAACACATGGAATTATTATATTTGATAAATACGACTATTGTGGCAAATGTTTGAAGAGTGAAAATTCAAACAAAATATGACATTTCATATGTTACTGTCTTAATGCATAAATATCCCTTCATACGCCTGATCGGGGCGGTCGGGTAGCCTAGTGGTTAAAGCGTTCGCTCGTCACGCCGAAGACCCGGGTTCGATTCCCGACATGGGTACAATGTGTGAAGCCCATTTCTGGTGTCCCCCGCCGTGATATTGCTGGAAAAATTGCTAAAAGCGGCGTAAACCCATACTCACTCACTCACTCACTCACTCATCAATACGCCCCTTGATCGACAAAATACTTTAATAATACTTGAATAGGCTGCTTTTACTCGCCCTACATTGGGCTAGGTAACCCAGAGTTCTGTTTTACGCAGTCAATCACCTATATATCGGATCGACCATATTGAAGATTCCGGATTCGAATAGGTCCCCATCAACCTATGCTGGTCACAAGAGCCGATGAAAAGGTTCTGGTGGTCAGGTACGGTGACGCGGTTGATTGTTTGTCATCGTAATCAGACCGGGTGCGGAGTAGCTAATAATATCAACCACTGGTTTGTCTGGTCAAGACTCGATTATTTACAGACCACCTTCTGCTGGAATACTGTCAAATGCAACATTAAAAGCCAACAAACATTTGGCTTTGCAGCGACAGGATTATTTAAAGGCCGACCTTTACATAATCCTGTCTCGGCCAAGCACATTGGTATGCTTAGCATATGGTGACATTCAGCCAAGTCATACAAGCCTCATTTTAGAAGACATTTGCGACGCGCATGGGGTACTGGGTTTCTATTCTGCCTCTGAATGCCAACGGCATGAACGAATGTGCAATAGATCGCAAGAATGTGAGAATAATTATCTCAAAGCTAAAACGGAAGTTTCCTGTGGATATTCAAGGAAAGAAATGTATCCAACACACCAGGCTTGTACCAACTAATGAACATCGGGTTGTTAAAATGTGTGAACTGGCAGATTGAAGGTCATTGTACTCCGACATTGTTGCTCGAGCTATCAATCACTGGGTTTCCTGGTACAGACTCGATATCGTACAGTCCACTGTGACTTGGGTGGAAGATTGCAAACTACGGAGTAAAACCACATTCCCTCTCTTAAAGAAAGCCACCGTGTGACCATTGCACTAAAGGACCGCCTCCGTGGTCTAGTGGATACAGCGTCTGCCCGGTGAGTGGAAGGTCGATGATTCAACCTCTGGTCTCGTCATATCAACAAACGTTAAATGATGGTACTTGTTGTTACCCTGCCTGGCGTTCGGTATTATAGAGATAAAACAAGGACCGGTCGGCTCGGAGTAAATTGTGTCTGGTCTTCACGTTACAACTGCTGCATAATGTTTCTCAGTGAGCTTGGTCCATAAAACCGGCATCACACAGAGAGAGAGAGAGAGAGAGAGAGAGAGAGAGAGAGAGAGAGAGAGAGAGAGAGAGAGAGAGAGAGAGAGACGGAGAAGGTGCAGAGAGAGAATTCCATTGAGATGTTTGGGCCACGCTTTACTTCAGGTCTTTTAGACTACCTCAATGACCATCTCTAAAGGCAAGGGTTGAGGTAAGTAGACGTTTCATGAATATGATTGTACGTCAAGCAGATGCAGCGGAATATTCTACAAACTTACTGATAACTAAATATTGATCAAAATAGCTATGCCTTGCACTATATAGCTTTACCGATTGAACAAGATCAGTTTTGTCAAGGTATCTCAAATACGTTTTCTTTTCATTTCAAACCGCGTGCATTTCCTGACCAACTGGCCAACTGGGAATGAACCAAACAAGACATTTCACCATAGCACGATGGTATAACAACTGCAGAATTTGAAAGTGAAATATAGAAGTTGTGTACACTTATATTACTCCGAATAAATGTTTAGCGTTCGGTTACAAATTAAATTTACAGGATATCATTTTGGAATAACATTCCTCTAATTTCCAAGCATAGTTGGTTTATCTCCTTCAGATGATATAAAAAAAGACGATCACAGTTAGTTTTGCCCCCGGGTATAGCTTTCGAATTGGTCAATTAGTGACACCCGTTTTGCGAACCTGACAATATGAAAACAACTGAATTTGGAAATGAATAAAACATTATCGAAAATAATATTTCCAGTGCAACTAGGATCTTGTAATATATATCCGTGCCTAAACACGTTCATGATGATTTCCGGTTTTGAATTTGAACAAGCGTGACCCTTCTGCTAAAATGTCCTTCATCCGGTAATTTAACTACAATCTGAGGAAATGTTACCATCAGTTGCATATCAAAGGCATCTGCACTTGGGTAACATCTGTCAATCCCCCCTATTTCTTGCTTTTGAGACATAACGTTAGGCATAGCATCCATGCTTTAATGACGGCTTCCAGCACTACCACCTAGTTACAGACCGGGCAGTCCCACCCAGGGTGTTGTTCCCGTGCCAGACATAAGGGTGGATTTGTCACGCTTGGGATACCACCCCGAATGGAACACCACAACTGATTCGAGTTGACATATCGTTACTAGCGCAGGCATAATATCACCATCAACATTATTGTGTGTATTCCGTGAACGCCTCTAATAGGCCACTTAAAATACTTATTGCTTCTCGTGATTTTTAGGGAGGGAATATATTATTATTTTTTAATAGATTACAAAATGTATAAACGTACAAACGACTAGGTTCCGCCGTGAATCTGACCCTTTATGTATGACATAATCATTGCATTCCGATGCAAACACAAAATGTAGTGTGTTGTTTACTTTATGATTATTTACCTTCTTACATCCGAATTATCATAATTAGTCATGGTATTTTATAACCGAGTTAACCTAAAATTCGACAAGAGATATGATGATATTCTTGATGTGGATTATCAAACTTTATATCTGTGTGCATCTCGACTGTTTTCATCCTTAAAGTAGGGTATTAAAGATATGTTCAAAATATTGCTATGTTACTGTGTATTATTAATCGGGGACAAATGACTTCACACTCCAACGTGTATCCATGATTGAATGTGGATTTATTATTTAATGAAGCGCCCATAAAATATATAAAGACACTCAAGGTGTGTTCATCTGTGTTCTCGGAGTGTGGTTTCACGCTATTTTAACAATAGTCCATTAATATCACGGCGGGTGAGACCAGAAACGGACTTCACACATTGTTCCCATGTTGGTACCCGAACCAGGGTCTTCGGCGTGACGAGCGAACGCTTTAACCACAAGGCTACCCCACCGCCCTATCTGAGTTGTGAAGTGATAACAATATATATTATGAAAATCTTGATGCCGGGTGACGCCTTGCTATAGGGTGGCATAATATGGATATAACGGATCAGGGATCTTTAAAAAAAACATTGGCTACCCATCCTTTCACACGTATCAAGTTTGCCAGTAGCCGTTGAAAGGGGGTCCCAGAATCACTCCTCTCTTGATCCTTGTCACGTATTCGTGGGTGTCACCTAAATGGTAACGCCTATGACCTACGTCACATTGAAATTGTCTTCCACTTTCTGACGGCAGATGATAATTACTATGCATTCATTAATGTTATGACGCGCAGGAGTGGGCGTTCTGTTGTGGCCGTGCATTGACACAGACCCACCACCGTCAATATATGGCTGACAGTCAAGAATGAAAGTCCATCACTTCGAAATTATTCACGTGTTAAGATTTTCAGTGAAATTCGTTAAAGCTTGGTGATCTTCAAGGGTCATCTGACAGATTCATTCAGGCATGTAGAACAAGATGTAGACAAACAGAACGGAACAACATAAGACATGATCTCAGTTAATGGATTTTATTTAGATTACTTCCCAAAAACCTAACAGGCTTGCGCCTGAAAATACATGTAAATATTATCACCATGTCCACTAACGTTATCATTTGGTCACCTGAACATTCTTCACATATAACGGAAAATTAGTACAACAGTTAATACAACCTACACGCATAACAAAGACGTTACCATTCAGTACAACAGAGATGATACCATTCAGTACAACAGTCAACTCAACCTACACATTGCGGAGATGTTACCATTCAGTACAACAGTCAACTCAACCTACACATTGCGGAGATGTTACCATTCAGTACAACAGTCACCTCAACCTACACACTGCGGAGATGAAACCATCAGTACAACAGTCAACACAACCTACACACGTAACGGAGATGTTACCATAACAAGAACAGTCAACTCAACCTACACATAACGGAGATGTTACCATCAGTACAACAGTCAACTCAACCTACACATCGCGGAGATGTTACCATTAGTACAACAGTCAACTCAACCTACACATTGCGGAGATGTTACCATTAGTACAACAGTCAACTCAACCTACACATTGCGGAGATGTTACCATTAGTACAACAGTCAACTCAACCTACACATTGCGGAGATGTTACCATTAGTACAACAGTCAACTCAACCTTCACATTGCGGAGATGTTACCATTAGTACAACAGTCAACTCAACCTACACATTGCGGAGATGTTACCAATAGTACAACAGTCAACTCAACCTACACATTGCGGAGATGTTACCATTAGTACAACAGTCAACTCAACCTACACATTGCGGAGATGTTACCATTAGTACAACAGACAACTCAACCTACACATTGCGGAGATGTTACCATTAGTACAACAGTCAACAAAACCTACACATATAACGGAAATGTAATCATTAGTACAACAGTCAACTCAACCTACACATAACGGAGATGTAACCATCAGTACAACAGTCAATACAGCCTACACACATTACGGAGATGTACCCATTCAGTACAACAGTCAACTCAACCTACACATAACGGAGAAACTACCATTTAGTACAACAGAGAAGTAAACAATACATGGCACAAAACTATCACTTGGTTACAAGCTTGTCTTTCGTCAGTAAAGTCTGTCTATTGGAAATATGTATAATTGAGTCGCATCCCTTGAACAAGCATTGCTAAAGTCATCACAAATGCCGATCAATACATAACATGTTATTAGAAATCACGGAAATGATAGGTGGGTATTACTTTGTTTGATACCTTTAATACTGGGACTATAAGTCCAGTGGGAATGTATGCTCTCCCAACGTTTTCATTTCGGATGCGAATACCCGTGTGTAACGACGCTTATATTTATACTAATAATTGTCAGTTTGACAGCTCCCTCTTCCATGCCTGCTTCCATATGTTAGACAGACACACTGTTGAGTGAAACCGGTAGAATATGCCAAGGGGAACGGACACGTGAGTGAAGATTGACCACGCCTTGGTTCCATAAAGAGCCACCTGGAGGGGGTTGTGTTCCATCTTCTGTGTCTCAAAGACATTAATTCCAAACATAGCAAAATTACTTATCAACAGAAAGGTGATACATTCTCTTCCTGGTTTGGCCCGAACCTGGTGTGCATTAGCAACCGTCATGCGCAGCCCGACAATGATGAACAACGCCTGTGTGGATGCTTGGAACACCATGATAGAATTGGTAACGATAGTGAGACAACCCTCCAGAGTACCATAGTGAAACATGGCAGATACAATACTGAACGTGGAATAGAGCATTAACCCACTTAAACTGATCAAGAGTAGCGTTTGTTCAAGGCCGCGGTGTCCTTGACGGTCGAAATGCATGCCTTTCATACGGTAACTTCCAATACCTAGAGCCGCAGTGGCTACGATATATATCGACGTTTCTGACAGGTGCCCGACAAGGGAGGCGATAGAGCCGAGATGTTCCTCCCCCAGGAAAACATAGAAGGCGACGAGACAGATGACGGCGAACACAAGGACGAGAAGTCCGCAGAAGAGACCCCTGCTGGACCCAGCACAGTCGACGCTCATACGGTGTAGTTCGTGTTCCTCATCGGTCTCCTGGGGTCTGTGTGTATGGTCACTGCCGACATTCTTCCACATCAGGTACAATATACCTGTAGAAAAACAAGGTCATTTTAAACTTGGATATTGTATCAATATTTGACCCATTTTTATTTTCAATGAAACTTCAAGTGAGGCTAATACTTTCTTTCTCCTAAATGTATTTGAACATCTGCATCATTCTCTCTTTAGAGACTCTCGGTCGATATTATACCATGGCTTAGCTCGATCAGCTCAATTTATCGTTTGAGGTTATATTATACCCTGATGGGCAAAAGACAATATACACCAATGTTTGATGGTGACTTTAAATGAAACAAACAAGAAATATTTTTTCGACGGAGATGTATTTGATACGTGTTTTTACTTTAAGTTTGCAGTTCGATTTCTTTGGCTTATTAACGTTTTGATAACTTTGGTAATTTGTTGGTCAAATCCAATCTCCAATCACCACATTGTCTAGAAGAATCCCGGAAGGTACTTTGGTATAACATTGCAATGTCGCTTTTCTCGATTTGCGAAAAATTCGATATTCAATTTCCACAACTCAAGTTAACAAGGTTTTCCTGTATTTATTTCTTGCATAGTGTCTACAGTAAACATTTTCCAGGTCAGATAATACTAACAACTTAATTAATGATTGTATTCAGTTATTCAAATTGTAATACAATTGTTGTTTTATGAGAATAAAAATACAGTGAATATGGCTATCCATTCAGATTTCTCTTAGGTTATCAGACTATATGATGTTGTTTGTTGTTTGTTTGTTGTTTAACGCCGCACTCGGCAATATTCCACCTTTATGACGGCGGCCTGTAAATATTCGAGTCTGGACCAGACAATCCAGTGATTGACATCATGAGCATCGATCTACGCGGTTGGGATACGATGCCCAACCAAGTCAGCGAGCCTGACCACCCGATCCCGTTAGTCGCCTTTTACGACAAGCATAGTCGCCTTTTACGACAAGCATAGTCGCCTTTTACGGCAAGCATGAGTTGCTGAAGACCTATTCTGCCCCGGATCCTCACGGATCTCAGATTATAGGAGGTAATGCATTTACTGTAACAGTATGACCTGTCTACCTGCGGAGATGAGGCTGTATTCAATGGTACAAGGGTACAGGTAGTAGGCGGCCTGCTCAACGACTTTCCCCATCATGGCATCCCAGTGACAGCTTAATTCAGGCAAGAACGACCCCGCCCTTTCTGCTGAAACAACAACATAGAAGTACTGCGTAATCCTCGAGCAATATTTTTCTATAGGGTCCTCGTTTCATAGCTGCCTTCCGTATTAATACTAAGGCTTGCTCGTTGTTCTGCTGTCTGAATGTATGCTTGGATACCGCGCACCATATCCCTCTTTTATACGCAAATCAAGCACTCGTGGTCACGATCCCAAATTTACGCTCTTTACTTATGAAACATGCATTTCACAGTTATCACGCTCGGCTTGTCAACGGTTGTGTTGGTGTTCAGTTTAGTATTGAAGATGTTTATTTCTTATGAGTCACCGTGGTGACATGAAGAAGTTGACAAGAGAGACATATATACAAAGAAATGAGACAATAGTTAGTGGAGCATACGCAGTCCATATTTTACATACTGGGCTAGTCGTAAGAGGAGAGGTTTATAAGCACAAGGCATAAGTGAAACACATTTTCAGTATTTGGATATTTACAATAATATAATGGGAGATATTTATTTCTTAATGATCCAATTCATGGCATTCTAGTATCAAATGGAATTCATCTCCAATTTTATTTTTCCAGAGAGAGCAAAGCCTATCTTTCCTATTGAGGTTATACCATCGGCCAGTTTCAATTGGGAGTCGGTGGTTGGTGTAATAAACCCGCTTGTACTTCCATCAGATTCCTATGAACAGTATACATAGTCGACCAGAGACACACTCTGTGGTACAAAGTAGACACGAGCCTTCAACCTTCATTGACTACAGCTTAAGGAGGTCAACAGGTCAATCTGCATCAGTAGCAAGTTTGGTTTAAGTCACTCAAACATTATTGTGTCTGCTTTATCATATTGTGTTATATCTATTTATCTAGTTGTATTTACACGATGATGTTGTTTTACTCATATTAGGATAAAGCTACAATGCTAAAAGCTAACCAAACTTTTTGAAAAACGGCAACAAAGAGACTATGGGCTGAAACATATTTTATGCTGCAAAACAATAAGCTGAGATTTGTGAACCTTTTAACATGAAATAAATAACAATAAGCATGTAAGTAGTATGTGCTTGTTAGTGACTTCCTCGATGACGGCCTGCAAGGGAGGTAATTCTGAAAACCATTCTCAGCAAATTGAGTAAATTTGGACATTAACTGCACACATGGCAGAAATAACATGACCTTCGGATTCTGATCGGCTGAGACCCATTCTGTTATTTCAAATGTACCCTTCAAAAATATTAGGTAAATTTCCCATGTTTGCATTACATTTGCAGCATACCAAACCACAATTTTGTATCTCGACTTAATATTTCCGGATATTTACGATAGTTTCCGAATGAAATAGATCTTGGGGAATAAATCTCAGTTTGTTTTCTGTCGTCTGTTGTTGTTCGATGAATGTGAAAAATAAACGAAGTGGAAACATGCCTGACTGTTGTATTCATACATGTCATACAATAGCTATGCGCTGGTAATTGAACTTGTCCTCCGGACCATTCGGTGACATGAGTTGACGTACCCTCTAACGTAGGGGGTACGTCAACCTATGTACCTCTCGAGACAGGTGGACAATTAATAATGTCCGACCCTAGCTAGAAATGTGTAGAAATGGTGGTGCTTAATCCAACATTACGTTCTGAACTTCGAACACATGTTTACCACATTCTTTAAACAATCAAACACGATTGACCGCACTCACTGTTTCGTGTCCATACCTGTAGCCTGCCTATACCTGCCTATACTCACCTGCACCTGTGATGGCAGAGCTGTCCGTGTGTCTCATACTGAGAGGAGTAGAACCCACCCGAGTCTGTTGCTGATCGAGGGCCTGGCGCATCTCCCACTTCTGTGTCACGTGCAACGTTTCCACGACAATGCTCCTGAGCCAGACACATATGTTGGTGCCACACATGTGCATGAGTCCAAACTGTGCCAGAACCTTGTAGCGGTAGATGCACATCTAAGTCACAGAGGGAATTTAAATAAAATGTCTCTTACAATAAAATTAAAGAAACATCGGGCGTAGATTAATGATTTAAGGCATTTGTGAATGAGAAATAGCGAGCTTTTTTCAATATGAACACCCACATATTAACACGCACGCACACACACACACACACACAGACACACACACGCACACCTATCTCTCTATCTCTCTCTCTCTCTCTCTCTCTCTCTCTCTCTCATTCACAAGAAGTAAGTGACATTTGCCCCTTTCATTACAACTTTTTAAATTGACGTCGTGTCGTTCTTGGGGCTACGAACCCTGATAACATCTGTGACCACTGACCTTGGAGTTGATGAACAGGAAGTACAGCTGTACGAAGGTAAATGCGAGTTTGGCCACGGGCTTAATGGCTTGGATGACGTCACTGCACGAGTCATGGTAGTGCGTTATCTCGAAATAGTGACCTATGGTCAGTCCACTGTGAATCATGCTGCCAATGCCAAAGCCTGGAGACATAGGTGTTATGAGGAAGTGAATCTTGACATTTACTTGACAAAACGTACACGCACAAAACATTGTCGAAATGATCAGCTCGGCTGTCACTCTTGAATTGTCAGGGTTAATTGGTATATTTAGTTTTACCTATATCACCTCTGTGTGTGTCATGACCTTGATTTTCACTCAAACGGGTGCTTCCGTACACCCGTCGCCATCATTGTGAATTAACGGTGATTCGTTTGTGTACGGTCGAGAATTAACGGTGATTGGTGAGTGTAGGGTCGGGAACTAACGGTGATTCGTGGGTGTGCGCACATGAATTAAACTGAATTCGTGATTTTACCGTCTTAAATTGACAGTGATTCGTGAGTTTAGGACGACAAGAGCTGAATTGGTCGTTGTTAAGGTCGATGTTCATGTTAAGGTTTTCAATAGGACATGTGCATCATGCTCCATGTAGCAGCTTATTTTTGCTCAATTTTGACAGGATGTTAACCCGTTTGGAAGGCGGTACTCACTGAGAGCATCTACTGATTTACTGAGGACATCTACTGATGGTATCTTCTAGGTCTTCGTCAGCTGATTTCCTTAAGCCTTTTCTCAGCATACATGATACGCTCCTGCATCGCACATGAAATGCTTTGAGGGCTTCAACAATGGTCATCAATTATAAAAAGTAATGGAATTGAGTTACTAAGATCTTTTGACATTGGCATGTTGAAGACGTACATAACCCTTGTCTTAAAAACTCTCTGAATTGGAACACACCATACATTTCTAGCATAAAAACATACACTAAATGCGATATCCATGGTGTGAAGTGCAAGTAACTATCGATTCTGAATAATCTGAACACAGCATATAACTGTAAAAAGGGATGGGAGGACTCGGGCTACGGACGGTGCCGAGACAGAATTCATTCAGCAAACTCCGCACACTGTCGAGAAACCATTTGGAATAAACCCCAACGCCCTTGAGACGTTGACATATCGAACAATCGGTCAAAGAATGGAATAAAACCAATGAGTTTTGTCGTGACACATTTATGCGACACACACGTTTGTGCGTTATGCGTCTAGGTAAGACCTAAAACCTGAATTAGATCAACTTGCGAGTACACAAAAAAGACTTTCCTGAAATCCTATTGTTGGAAATAGCTCTGATTTACATGCGTTATAAACTGACATGCAAAATTAAAATTTACCACTTTCAAAATAAAATTGCAAAAATTTAAAAACGCAACTTCTAACTAAATCAATGCAAAACCCCAAAATGCTCTAGGCAGAAAGAACACGTCCAGGGCACGTTCTTCGTTTGTAGAAAATGTGAAATAGTGAAAAACATGTGCCGCTTGGGCAGCCGAAACTACACGTTCAATAAGGGTTTATAAATGATGCGGACGACATGTCAGACACTCACACTGATAATAAAGTACCACAGAAATGCCACGACTGACACCAGAACAACGCAAGGCCCTGGGTATGATATAGATGGGAGACGCCCATGCCCACATTGGTACACACTTTGGTTGCTCTCGTGTTGCTGTAACTAACCTGAAGCAACGTTACAGACAGACCGGGCAGACATCAGACAGGCAGACCCAACTACACCTAATGAAGACCGGTACTTGCGTACTTTGCATCCATTCCTGACAGTGACATCATCAGCGACGAATGTCTTAGGGCATATGGTTGTCGAAAGACAGTGGTCAGGCGACTCGGGGCTCAATCAATTAAGGCTTAGTGACCTTACCGAGGGCATTTATTGTCAGCCTAACATCATCGTCAGAGATTGAGATGGGCCCGGACTGTACGTCGTTGGCAGCGACGTGACTGGCAGAGGGTCTTCACTGATTTAAGCCGGTTCTGGCTTTTCAGAGCGGCTTTACCGCCGGGTGGTCAAGCGTTCGGGAGATCGTGCCGTATGGTCGAGGGGGTGTTAGGGTGTGGGGAGGAATTAATTCCCTTGCAGCCAACAACGTCAAGATGTTGCCGTGTCCAGCACGCTCCCCAGACATTTCCTCCATAGAACACCCCTAAGATGTCATGGATCGTCGTGTTCCACAGCGACCACATCCTCTAGCCAACCGACAAGAACTGATCCAGGCCCTCAAAGAAAAATGGCAACGACTGACTTTATCTGTGCGTCGGAGAGGTTTCGCGTTTGTGCCCTTTGTCCATTACGTTGAAAGTTAGTTTTTGCTACTGTCGTGCCAATATCGGATGCCGTATGACTGTCATTTTAAATGTTGATTTCGTTGAGATTGTGATATTTTCTATACATTCATGCATCTATCTGTTGTGTTCTTTTTTTAAAGAGTCATTTAAAACTATGGTAAAGTTTCTTTAGGCCGTCAGTGTATATAGCCCGGGGCGGCATGTCTTATTAATGTTGTAAAAAAAACTAAAAATATGGCTAAGTGCAGTCTTGACCAATAATTGGAAAAAAGCGTTTGAACAATAACATTGAAGGACAATGTTTCCATGGCAACTCGGTGCCGGTTTTCAAGTTTTAAACAAATATAAACTACATTTATGTATACTACCCAACAATACCTGTATATTTAAGTTAATAATTAAAAAACAAAGTTAGATATAAGAACGGGTATGGTACTAACAGACCAAGATTCATAATCAGGGCGAATCTTAGATTCAAACTTAAAACCATAGGATCGCATAAGTGAGTGAGTGAGTGAGTCAGTATGGTTTTACGCCGCTTTTAGCAATGTTCAAGCTATATCACGGCGGGGGACACCAGAAATGGGCTTCACACATTGTACCCATGTCGGGAATCGAACCCGGGCCTTCGGCGTGACGAGCGAACGCTTTAACCATTAGGCTACCCGACCGCCCCGGATCGCATAAGAGACGCAACTCTGCATTGTGAAATTTTATATATTAGATGTCAGCCCGTGTATTCTTTAATTTGAATTCTACACTCGTTAAATACATCGCCCACAGGTCTACATATCTGTCATTTACTCTCACCTACTGCACCGAGCCTCAGATAAAAGCTACCGGTGTGACGACTAGTTGTGCTGTCATCAAATGCTACTTTCCTACGTCTTTGTCTATTTGAAGAAGAAGATGCAGAACTCGATGACCGGGAATGGTCATCTACGTTGAGGCGGAAGTTGCGAGAGAAGTTCCGCACGAAATCTCGAATGCTACGTCTGCGCCTGCGCAGAAGGTAGAGGTAGACATACAGAAGGAATCCCATGCTGGTGCAGTACAGGTAGACATAGAACGCCTGGAAATTGAACCAAACACCAGGTTAGAAAAGCACACGGTCAGATACAAGAATCGGGGTTTATTTCATTAAGAGCCATCGGGACAGGTGTCCACAATCGACCAACGCGGGGACTTGAATTTGTTGCCTTAGACGTGACCAGTCAATGCTTTTTAACCAACCACCCAGCAGTAAAAAGTATGATTGTTTTAAACATTTTTCCTGTCTGGTGGCATCACTTTTCTTTCCCAACAATGTTAGCACGTGGCCTCCTCCTACATGTAAACGAGTATATATTAGGGAGGCTTCTAGGACTCACAAGACTGTTGAGTAATGACTGTAGCTTGTTATATATCTTTCCGGTTACACAAGCCAAGCTATCGTGACATAGTCTGGACAATTGTTAATTAAATACGTATCCACGTGATAATGTAGAGTTTGTTACATGGTGCACTGATACAAATCAGTCAAGTAATTTCGTCAAAATGTAATTAAGTCACTTTCTCTATGTAATTACATGTAGATTTACATTGCCTTCTAACATTACAAATAGCTTTTCTTTCCCGAGACTGCATGGCTTAAGACGACATCCTAATAGGATTCAAGAGTAGCCAACAGAAGTGAGTGAGTATGGTTTTACGCCGCTTTAAGCAAGATTTTAGCTATAACTAGGGGGGGGGGGGGGGGGGGGGGCACAGAAATCGACTTCACACATTTTACCCATGTGGGGAATGGAACCCTGGATCTTCGACGTGACAAGCAAACGCTTTAACCACTAGGCTACCCAACCTCCCCTTGTCAACAGGAACGTCTGAACTAATTTCTACCTCTGGTGAAGCTTACGTTTGTATGATTTGTATTCCGGAACATTGTTAATCCCAGCGATATCAGTCAGAAAGATACTGTCCGGATTACCGTGGACTTTTTTGTATAAATCAAATACTCTAAAATAGGAGTAAAGAAGAAGAGTATGTTATGCGCGGTAGCTTACCTCAAAGAAATATGGGCGACGAGAATCTACGAATGTTTCTGCTATGGGTAACACTGCACCAAGCATGACCAAGAATATGCCGTATAGTCCACTCAGTATTCTGAAAACATTCTTCCTGTTTGCAGAAACATGAAGACGGAGAGCCCATTACTGTATATGCAATAAATGCGCCTCCTAAACATGGCAATCTGTTTTAACTTTGACTGATTACAGGGTTCATCAATGCACATCATGGATATTTAACGTACGATTCAGTGTCTTACGTTATGTTCAACAGGTCGATATTCAAAGAAATGTATTCAGATATGGCATAATACTTTGAGAACACACACACATTCATGCATACACACATACATATGCATACATAAATTTAAATATCTGTCTGTGGTGCGTATGTGTGTATGTGGTGTGTGTGTGTGTGCCTGTGTGTGTATTGGCTATGAATACCTGAGTTCTGTAGACACACCCCTCTGGACAGCGTCACCTGCAGACAAAATATTATCGTGTTTTGTACCATGATTTTCATCTGAGTCAGTAAATAGTCGATTGGACAAATATCTCATATAAAATATGAAACTCCATCTCCCTGCTTAAATTGTCATTCGGGCATAGAAGATGATTATCATGTATCATGTACTCTAATATTAACCAACATATTACTTTCATTATACCAATATAAGACAGTTTGTTAAATTGATGTCAAATATGGATATTTTGCTTAGATGAGATATCTTCCTACAAATAGAGAATCTCACCCGAGTATATTCCATGGACACCCAGTAGTATGGTTCGCTTTGTTTTATTATATTCACCTATTTCGTAATGACTCAGGTAACACAGTGGTATGTCAGATTTAATACTTGTTGCCCTTTTTATATTGTGGAACTTTTTAATCAAAGAGTCTGTTCTTATACAGAATTGTATGGACGAGGTTATTGCATACATCCACAACATAAAATACTGACACACATGTAAAACCCTACACAAAGGTATTACATTGCCGGGCAAAAGCAAGTACTCCCTATGAATTTGGAAAGTTTCAAAAGTTATCAAAACATTACTAGTCTGAAAACAGTCGCGAAAAACACTACAAAGTTGAAGTTCAAAACATAACTATGATACCCATATCAAATATATCCTCATCGAATAACCACTTTTTGTTTGCTTCATTTTTAGCCACCATCGAACATAATCTATATTTTACCCGGCAGTTAAGATGTCAGGTATCTGAAACAATGACGAAATGATGACAATGTCGATACCAGTCATTTGTCTACAGTTACATCCATACATCTAAAACAATTTTGGAACACGAACAATACAATTCATACAATTCGTTAAGTCAATATGAAGTACTTACAATTATCTACAGAAAATAAAAATATAATAGAATCAGGAACATTCCTTCAAAAGAGTGACTGTGTACTTGCCATTATGTTTTGGCAAACGTGAACTGGTAATGTCGTACCTGTTATTATATGAAGCAAGGCGTAATCCCCATCAGTGTCATTTGGCTGCTGAGTTGTCTTTGTCGATTCCAGATCACTTTCAGCTGTACTTAGCAACGACGTCGTTGCAGTTACCATAACTTCAATGTCTCTCATCGTTTCACAAGCATCAACAATTTCAACCGTATCACGTGCCCTGATTTGGTCACCAACTCTGGGAGTTGGACCCTCACTCACAAAAGACATCCAAACTTTCGGCTGAATGTTTGGAAGGTTTTCGGAAACTTCAGATTCCATTCTTGCATTCTTCAACGCACATTTAAAGTTTTCATTGAAATCCCCATTTCCACCAGCACCGGCACGACGTGGAATGGCCATGGGCATTGCATTTGAAAACTCTTTCAGTGTCGTTGAACCTTTTGCAGCAGGTTTTACATATTTACTATCTGTGTCTTGAGTAAACTCTTGGTCCTTCATCTCGATAATTGAACGAAAGATGTAACTGGTTAATATGTCATCTGTTTTGTTTCAATACAAAGATGGAGCCTGACAATCGAGAAAGACTATGGCGTGCTCTGTTCTCAATACATTCAGTCTCCAAGAAAATAAATATCAGCACTCTTTTAAACACTGGACACAGCGTGTATCAGCCACTATACGGGTGTCAGGTCATGCCATAAGGTCAGACCATGCGTGTCAGTCAACCTGTTGCCTATCTGTACGAACATCTTGAAAAGGTCAACTGAAGAGCATATACCCACGGTCGATCTGTGTCAAAATATGATGTGGCTTGAAAACGATACCTATATTAAAGCATAATGTAGTTTACCCAAGACATGTTTAATCCAAAGACAGAACTTATGCTTATGAAAGGAAAAAGGTCATTTCACAATCGCGTTTTATTCCCAAACCATTTGGTCGATTGTCAACAATATCCTTGAAAAATATTGACATGTTTAAAGCAATTTATAAAAAGAATCTTTGGTCGGGAGAAATAAAGGGAAATGAAAAGGTATTCGTTTTTGAAGAAAAGTCAAAGGGTTACTTCGCTCCCAGTATTGTCAGATTCACTGAAAGGTCTCAAAGAGTCTCGTCAGGAGAAAAAATCTGTAATCACTTGTGAAATTGTGAGTCGACGGATCAATAAAGTAGGAGGCAGAAAATATTATGAAATGCCTGAAGCACAACAAATGACGACCTGGACATTGTTACGACAAGAAGTGTTTCTATCAATGATAAAAGATATGAAATCTCAATGAAATCTGCCCTTTATGGCATCACTGATGTTATCTGCTATTGTAAAAGATATACAAAAGAAGACCTCACCGAAACAACTTTTATGATAAAACGAAAGATAATTCCATTCAAAATGGATTTCGTGGCCATTATCAGCAATTCATTTAATGTTTCGTATGAAGCGAATGCTTAATGCCCCAGACATTGACTTGGTGGACTCATTCAATATAGTCTGTTATTAATGAAACTATTACGTGTATGAAGCCTGTATAGCATGTCTATTTCTGAGCGCATTATTTGAAATTGATCAAAGGAAACGTAAATATCCATGGCATACGATGAAGAAATGTACCAATCAAAATGTCAATAAAATTATAAGCTGGCTGCATTGATACCCCCTGTCGCGATACAAACCTTTGAATTGCTGATAAGTATGGTCGTGTTATTCCCGCGTTGTGTTATTTTGGTACTTCATGTTATAAATACCTTTGAAGCATCAATAATTGTGCTTGTTATTGTAAAATTATTAAAAGGATGTCGCAAAGCATTTCGTAACAGGACATTTTCGTATGTAATAGCCATGTGATTTGCTTAAGACCTGCTTCAACAAATCTCACTGCATGACGTCAAAAGTTGTCATTTGAAGTTATTTTAAATGCCACCCTCTTATGATTAGAACAAAATAAAATTCCTAAGAAAGATTGTATCGTGTTATTTTGTGATTAGGTGAGTGAGTGAGTTTATGCTTTACGTCACATCGGCAATATTTCAGCCATATCGTGACGATTGTGATCAGGTGGAAAATGTACCTTGAGAGTAGCGTTGCCTGTATGCGTACGTGTGCGTGTGTGTGAAGCAAGTGTAAGGTAGTGTGTGTATGTAGGTAGATGTACATTCATGTATCAGTGTGCCAGTGTTTGTACCAGTGTGTTTAGGATTGTGTTTCTCCATGTGTGAAAGCGTATGTATCAAGTTGTGTACATGTGTGTTAAGCAATATGTGTATCAATGTCTGACACAAAGTGTTTATCAGCGTTAGGCAATGTGTTCATCAATGTCTGAAACGGTGCGTTTTATCGGTGTGTTAATAAAAGCGACAAAACCTTTCGATATTCAAAAGAAGTCAATTGTACGATTCCGACTATATCATGAGCATGTTTTTATGAATCACTACCAAATGGTGATGATACCGGGTGTTCTCGAAAACACTTGCAAAGTCAAGTCAATTGTTCACCCAACAAAACTACACGGGGACATATGGTATAAGTACAAGTTGGGAACTGCATCGGACTTTGTCATTGATGACATTGATGACATTAGGAGATGTCCTCCACATATCTACCATGAAACATTATGACAGCTTTACTGGGGCCTTCGTGTTATAACCTTGATCAAACAACTTTTGAGCAAGAGTCGTATGACGCTGGTTAAAATCTTCGTAGAATGAGATTTCTTGATTGTACTTCAAAAGCTGAAAATGTAGACACCAAAGTCTGGAGTTGCTGGAATATTACTCGACATTAAGGTTAAGTTTTTCATTTGGAAAGATGAAATAACTCCCTCCTGCCATACAGTGGAGAGTGTTTTGTCATTTCGGTGTGTAGATCAGTGGAAGGGAATTGGCTCCTTCATTGTTATTGATCGACTTCAGATCATCGCTATACCTGAAGCTTAAGATAAACTTCTTGGCCAAATTGCCTTGTTTTGATTTCGCCAATCCAAGCAGAAATTCCGATTCATGTGCATAAAGAAACTGATAAGCAAGACGGAGAGCACAGTTGGCGCCCATGGGGATGCCGACTTCTTGCCTTAATGATTTATCCCAAATTCTAAATTGGTGAACGTAATATAATGTGTGTGTCTGACGCAGTGTGTTGAGTGGTATGTGTAGAGATGACTGAAACAGTCTGTTTAGAGAGAGAGAGAGAGAGAGAGAAAGAGAGAGAGAGAGAGAGAGAGAGTCAGTAACAATAGAAACGTTTTATCTTGACACGTGTTATCAACTGGATCTAAAAGAAGAGGAACACATCTCACACAAGTAAAACCTTTACTCCAAGCTTTGGTGATAGGTTCGTCGTATTATACAGCAAATACATATTCTAAGCCTTGAACATGCCACCACTTGCCTATTGAAAAGAGGGAAGATGGACTAAAATATCAATATATGAAAGGAAAGGAAAATTATGTAACATTGATTATTGATATTGATGATGGATTCCATTATGTTTTAAAAACTGAAATAGTTCAATGAAGAGAGACAACTGAACACAAAAAGCATATTTAGAGACACCAAACATTTTTAAATTCAGACTTTCTGTTGTAAAACAAACTCTACATGTTTCGTAAGGTCATAATGGAAAATGTTGAATCATCTGGTAAATCAAGTGTCCATCTCGCCTTCTCACATTGTATATATTCATTTGTCATTTCCACATCGCATGCCGAAGAGTTCGAACCGAGAGTAATAAACTTGTTCTGTTCTGATCACCAGGTCCAGACAAATGACATTCGTTTTCTTAATATTGGACACACAGCACGAACAAATCCTAGGTCACCATCGTGTAGGTTATTAACTTCTGTTATTCACAATACTACCACAATAAAGCCCAAACACCTTAATGACCACGTTGGCAGCTAATTCGACAACGTTGGAGCTAATTCACAACGTTTCCTAAGAAGGCTTGCTTGCCATGTTCGCTCTTGTACTTGTCCGCTGATTAAATGTTGACTTTTCAAGCCTCTGTAACGTGTACTGCACTGTCTATCTGTAAATGTGTGTCTGTCGTGTCGGTACCATTTGTCTAAAGTGAATTTATCAACGATATGTCAAGAAACTGCACATTTTCAGTTGTTTCCATATCAGAGCATCATCCTAAGAACAAGTAACCACTTTAATATGTATTATGAGTGAGTGAATGCACATGTAATGCAACTATGCTAAATGTAAAATAGATCTAACTTTCTTTCATTAAAACATTAAATCTGCCCTAACTGAGATGCAAAATGAACGTTTATCTTAAACATTTCTTTCTTAAGCGCCAGGGCGCCATTACACAGCCGTAAATGTATGTTAAAGTATGGGAGATACGATTACCTTAGCGAACCCCAGAATCTTTGCACATGTACACAGCAGTCGATGCTAATAGCTGCAAGATTGCTGATGCGGCGTTAAGCAATACATAGCAGACGTAATTCAAAATTAACATGTCGTTTCACGTTTCAACAAAATCAGTAAATATGCCATTGTCTGGTCAATTACTTGGTTGTCTGGCGCGGACTGCATTGAGTACAGGCCGCCATGACATGGCAGGAGTACAAACGTTTACATTTTTAAAGCAAATTGTGTGTGGTGGGTGCTTCAGAGAGAGCAGGACATGCTTACCCTTCGCTAAACACCTGGTGTCGTCACTGATTTTCAGTGATCCATTCATATAATCTTCACCTCTGTATTCCTTTTACGCCCGATGGCATCTGTTTCGGCAGATATCCAAGACAGATTATTCACTGGCGTCAACGTTTAATATTTAAACAGCTTTTAGCACTATTACAGCTATCGGTGAATACCTAGAAAGGGATTCACGCGCTGTTTTAAATGCGGGGAATCTCAGGTCTTCGAAAGGAATTGCTTGATCAGTTTGGCTGTGACACTCACACCTATACAAAGGCGCTAAGCCAAAGGGCAGTGGGTCATGGGTGGCCCAGTCGCCAACAGCAGAGCAGTTCAATATGCGGAGTTGCTACTTTGGCGTGTCATTATCCTATGATCGTGAGTTCGAATCCCCGATTTGTCCTGATTATGCTCATCGGTTAGTCATCACAATACACATTCTCGTTGTTTTCACGAAAATGGTAAAAGTGTACGACACGCATCCGTTTGTATTGTCCATCCACATTACGCTGACATGCCGTGAAACATGCTTTAAAGCTATGACATGCATAACGCAGGCACTCAACAATTACATTTCCCCCTTTCGAGATCACATGAGTCCTTGAAATTTGACGCACTAACAGTTCCCCACAACTGTTTATGGGGAAGACTTACAGAGATAAACTGATTCTGTTTGGTTTAATTGACCCCAAAACTGTTTTATAACTGACATCACTAAAAGATAATAAGTAGTATAACCATAGAAAGATTTAACAGATGCTTATATTTTGAAGGTAGTATTTCATGATTTATCGGCCTTCATTGTAACTGGAAGCTCCCGGTTGGAGATTGTGAGGAAATACATATTTACTTAT